TCGAAATGCACATTGGCCCAATTGGTGAGAAATCTGTGGTTGGGGGCAGCTATCTCCAGGTACGTTGTTCCCTTACCGTATCTTCCCTCTCAATCTCTTCTTACCGTGAGGAAGTGAGTCCAACCTTGAGTGTCCTCTCTTCAGTGAGGAGTCATGAGCGCTCTATCTTGAGAGATGACATTCTTCCCGGTGGTGCCTCTGAAGGGCCCTGGTCGAAGCACGGGTCACGGTCACCATGCCTACCCATGGGAGAAGTATACGCAGGCCGTGCTGCTTTGTCCTTTAAAGCTCTTTGTTGCAATGATAGAGGGATTGCGGACTGACCAGTCCTATGCAGATGGTTACCAGACCGTCTATAGATATTTCTGGCTGGGATCTGAACTGTCCACTGGCTGTGATAGTCGTGCTGTCTGCGAGATTAAATAATTCCTGAGGACCTTGGGGGCTGTCCTTAAACTGCCTCTTGATCAGCCAGAGCAGTCAGACGTAAGGCTCGTTGCACGCGAGGATAAAGAAAGGGCAGTACTGGTCATGAGCAAATTCCTGGGCACAGGGGGGGGGGCGTTAATGCTTACCTTTGACACTGCGGCTTGATGACGCGGACAGGCACGTTGGATATAGGGGAATGAAGGTACCAATTGACTTAACTGTTAATCACAACCATACCCATTGTGCATACATCTGCTCACATGATTTATTTTTATTTTTGATTAGTTGGTGGACATACTGCTAACACCTAACAGACAGCTTAGATTGGTACTGAAGTGTTCTACCATCGCCAGTTCTTATCGAAGCTGCTATGAGTGAAACTAATGAAGGTAGAAGTAGATCATGTGTACAGTTTGTGTAGATGCTGTTAATACCGTTTGAACAGTAGCCTAGGTAAATTACCGAGTATTAATTTATTTTTCAAACCCGGTCAGACACATGCTGTTGTAGGCCCCAGTGAGGGCAGTAGTGCAGAAAGTGTTTGCCGAGCTGATGAGTGGATCAGGCAGTGATGAGGATAGATCTGTAGGAAGGAGGGTGACACGTCAGGAGTCCATTAGGATTCCAATCATGCACCAAGCTTTACCACCTGAGGGAGAGAGGGCTTTGCGACAGGACACAGTAGCTGAACGTTTGCAGAGGGCTAGAGAAGCGGCAGCAGCAGCCGAGCAAGTGCTTGCAGCAGCAACAGCCACTGCAGCAGCTATGGCTACTTCTGCTGCTACATCTATTCAGATGAGCGTAGGCATGCCGGCCAGTTCAAATGCCACATCCAGCTCAGTGGGATCAAGCAGTACTTCTAGTCAGATGGCGGGCTCGCAGTTCAGCTCGCCACCTCCACGCACTAGAGAGGCCATCAAACTCAAGCAAGTGGAGGTGATCCGCTTACGGTTAGAGAAGGAACTATTAAAGCTACTGAAAGAGAGACGAAGATTAGAACTAGGAAAGCTAGACTAAAGAATAGGAGGACAGCAGAAGCTACTGTAGAAGGGTTAGATGACGCCCTCATTGATGATAACGCGAGAATTCTCAAGGCAGGTCTCCTGTCCGTTCATGCATACATGGACAACAAACTGGACGGTATCCAGGATACCCTTGACCAGATACTGACCACCATGCAGGGGATGGGAAGGGCTTTCCCATCGCCAGCAGGTGGGCGCAGTTTCCAGCCTCTAGTTTTCACATCACCAGTCTCCTCGCCGGTGATGTCAGGTCCCACTATGTCTCAGTTTAGCAGTTCACGAAGCGGTACATCAGCAGCAGCAGCATAGACTGTTGCTTCTTCATCTTCTGGTCCGGCGGCTGGTGCTGCACAACAGCCGGTCCCACCAGTGGGACAGCAGCAACCTTGGTACCCCAAGACTCCTCCCACCAGTGGGACAACAGCAACCTTGGTACTCCAAGACTCCTCTGAAACCACCCGCAACCTTCTCAGGTCATAAGAAGGATGAGGCTTTCGACACTTGGTTGAGAACGGTCGCAGTGTGGGTCAGGGCAAAGAGGACGCTGTTAGAGGACGAGGTGATCACTGCCACCTCGTATCTTGAGGGAGCGGCAGCGCAATGGCTAGATGGACTAGTAGCCTCGAAAGGGTTTGGCAGGCGCATGAATGATCGGGCAAAGACCCATACCTTAGAGAGATTTATGGAATTGGTAGAAATGTGATGACACAACCCGCAGCAGGCCCAGCAGGCCACTGACGCGTTGACCCCGCTTGATACTAAGAAGTACAAATTCGCTTGTGAACGTACCTCTGCCGTGGAGCGTCTCATTGTCGTCCCCGTATCCCCCTGACCTCACCCCTCCGCAAAAAGCTTGTTTTTTTTTTTTTTTTTTTGCGGAATCCAACTGCTCTCGACAAGCGCAGTTGGCCCCGTAGTAAAAAAAAAAAGGAAAAAAAAGGAAAGCCCTATTTTGGGCTGAACAGGAATTTCCGGTTGGGCTGCCTGAATTGGTCCGTTCCCGTCAGCTCCGGGCCAGCAGGACCGGCCGGTCGCCAGCCTAGCCCTGACCATAACACAAAAGGCTTCACTAACAGGAAAGCACCGACCACATCCGCCAATGTTCTAAAAAAAAATAGAGAGCCCTGTGAGTCGGCCTGCAAAGCCACCACAAATCAAGCAAACACCACAGGACCTGTACGAAACACTAAGAGCGCTATGAACCTCTCCCTGCTGCACGACCTGCAGAATCAGATGATCTCGTAGTGCTGCAGCAAGGCCACTGTGCGTACTATGCCAACCTCCACAAGATCTCCACACGACACCAGGAGCGCTACTGCTTAAAACACCCTAGAAGCTTCCCCATTTCTTCCATGTGCTCCAGAAGAGCAGCCTGTGGGAATGACATCCGAGCCTCCTCAGGAAGATACCGTGGCCAGATCTCCAAACATACATTCCTGGCCCAAGAAAAAGTCGTGGCCACTCACAAACATTCCTGCATTGAAAAGACAGCTCATGCTACAAAGCAGGGCAAACGTTCATTCAGAATTCATCACCCAAATTAAGGCGGTTGAGGATGAGGAATTTGGACAAAGAACGTCACCGAGTTGAAAGAGGTTGTGGATCACAATAACACATGTTGGGGACAGGCTGTCCGCATTCTTTATCCTTCATGGATAGGATGGAGAGGTCAGCTGACTCCACCAAGCACTTGACGCAACAGCTGGCTTCACCGGCAGGTTCAGTGAAGGGGATGCATGACTCAGTGGAGGCACTGCAGGCTTCTCCTTCAACACCTGAGACTTTGGTAGGGCCTTCCTCTCTACATGAAGGATGAAATTGGCAGGCCTATCGACAAAGGTCGAAAATTAGATCATTGGAAGCTTTCAGGGGAGGATGATGTTGAAGTTTGGCTGCGGGAGGTGAAATGCTAGATTTCTTATTATAGTCTGATGTACAGCATTACAAAGTTCCAGTTCCCCATCAACGACATGGACTCGGCCAAAGCTTGGGCCAACTCAGAGATTTCGTTAGTTGCGAATCAGAAACTACGTGCAAAAAGTCTTTCGGGCTTTCGTGAACATGCGATGGCAATGTTCGCACTTGGCGCCTACGCTGCCTAGCACTAAATGTTGCCTTAGCTTTTAGCTACTTGCAACCTTTTTAAGCTAGGGACTTGGTAGGGATTTTCCAGAAATGGCAAGACCTGGGAATGTGCGAAAGCTTACCTGCAGGTAATGATGGTCCCGGGCCTGAATGTATAGCTTTAGGGCCTGTAGGTAGATTACTGTCTATAATTATATTCCTACCAACTTTAGGGAACACCGGTAGGCCTCGTGCACCCAAGCAAGGTGGGTAGAGGCAGGTAGTACCTTTCTGGAGGAAGAAGAGGCAGGAGGCAGCAAGTATATCATTCGGTGCATTGAGCATTCTGCTTATTCACCCGAAGTCATGCTGCTGCTCCGCCAAGAGGGAGAAGTGGAGGAGCTGGAGGGTGATGGTGAGGACATCGATGGGTATGGAGGTGTAGTAGGGAGGATGTAGAAGAAGACCTAGGCTATGGAGGTGAGAGAGGAGGGCGTCCACGTAGTTTATGGAGGAGCAGAGGTAGGAAGGAAGGAGGTAAAAACTGGGAAGGAGACTCACCTTTGGCTACGGTGGACCTGCACCTTCATCTTCAAGGTTGATGTTGCACCTAAAAGGCCCCTGAAGGGGATACCAGTGGGTTGAGGAATTTATCTGGTAGTGAAGTGGTAGAGGGCATGGGAGCTTTTGCATTGTCCTCTGAACATCCGAGCATACCACGGAGGAACGGAGGAGGTGTAGGAGGTCAAAGGAGGGCTCTTTATGTTGCTGGCAGTAAGGGGCACTAATCGGACATTTGATTCTGGCTCTTTCATTTCTGGTTCTCTTACATATAATAAGATGATGAGGGGGAGGTGATGGATGCGAGATTAGGGAGAGAACACTTCCATTCCAGATTGTGTTTATCTTCTTCTTCTACTGTTCTTACTCCCTTCTCTTATTCTTCTTCCAATCTCTTGTAGCAATTGAATGCCGTTGTGTCTTTGTGAGCTTTGCATTGGGAGCTGACCGGAGTCGTAGGCTCAGAGCCAATGTGATTAAACTCACTTCGGTTGGGAGCTGACCAGAGTCATAGCAAATGTAACTAACTTCGGCTCCGGGGACTGAACCCCGGTGTGAGGTTTAGAGAACTCACACGTGTGGGCTAAACCCAATGACAATAGATGTGAAAATATGAAAAGAAGTTCAAACCATGTGGCGGTGAGGGAGCTTGACAGTCACAGATCCCATTGAGTATGGTGTGTGATACAGTTGGCAAGTTGACCGAGCTGCTGGAGTTCCTTAAGAGATTGATGTTCCCTCTTTAGAGGTGATACTATTGTTGGTGTAGAGGTGATACAATCGTTGGTGCAGAGGAGGACCTGGCATGCAGTAATGAAGAATGTCAGTCTGTTAGGATGAACATTTGTTATGTTTGGCTCTGACATTTGTGTTCTGATTGCATGTACTGTTGCCTCTCTTGTGACATTGGCGGTTCATGAACAGGAGATGCAAAGCACTGATTGCGCAATACAAAGGCAGCTTGGTATTAGAGCTTCAGCAAAGATCGTGTGAATTCCACGGCATTCTGGCGAAACACAGCAACCTCAAGTAAGTCATTACGCTGATGCCAACCATGTGCGATCATTGTCTTTGTTTTTGCCAGTCTGATACTTGGTTTCACCGTGGGTCCATGATGTAGTCAGAAACGGGTAGTGGAAAAGATTACGAGAGTATGTGGCCGAGAAGTTCATTTGTTTGTTTCTTTTTTTTACTGTGTAGGATAGTACTGCGAGGGAGGGGGGAACCAAGAGGGAGAGGAAGGAGGGGTGGAAAATGTCTCCATGATGGAGTCTGTGGTAGTGGAAAAGATGACGAAAGAATGTGGCACAGAAGTTCGTTTGTTTGTTGCCTTTTTTAACTGTGTAGGATGCTACCGCGAGGAAGGGGGGAACCAAGAGGAAGAGGAAGGAGGGGTGGAAAATGTATCCATGATGTAGTCGGAAACTGGGGTAGTGGGAAAGATTACGAGAGAATGTGGCACCGAAGTTCATGTGTTTGTTTCTTTTTACTGTGTAGGATAGTCTTGAGAGGGAGAGGAAGGAAGGGTGGAAAATGTGATGCAAGAAGATGATGGAGGATAGCAGAAATATGAAGACTGTTATCATGATGGCAAAGGAGGCGACAGGGTCTACTTACCTGCCAATTCCTCCAAGCCTGTATTCAGTTTGGTTTTGCAGGTTTGGACAAAAACGTCTGTTCGTTAAAAGAGTTTCAAGAGCAATGATGGCTCAAGATGAGGATGTCAGGTCGTCATCAACGATGTAATTAGTATCTAATTCATCAGTTGCGTTTTCATGATGGGTGTCCTTGTTGGAAATTTTGCAGAGTACACCTTGCAGACAAGATGCCAGCACTAGACGAGACAACTTACAGAGCAAAAGGAACAGATGTTTCTGGCCAGAGAGGGCCAGCATCAAATCCCACCTCGCCGACAACTGCTCATGCGAACGGTGAGTTGCAAGGATGGAGGCAGTTTTTTGCAGGAGGGAAGAACAAGGAGCAACAGATTGTTGTGCTTGATTTGGCACTCTGAACGAATCCCACCTCTTTTTATTTTTTTTCATAATAAGACCATCAAGAGCCGGGGAGTCACTTTGATGAATCCGTCACTGCCAGGGAACACATAAACACACAGCCATCCTAAAGACAGCAGCCCCCCTTAATAGTTTTCCAGGCACTTCTAACAAACAGCAACTGACTATTTGGCCCATCTGCAAGGTCCTGGTTGCACTTGGAGATGAAGGAGAACATGGTGAACACCAACAGATAAAGCACATATTTAGAATGAGGTGCACCCTCTTTTTTTTTGCTGCACGCTAAAATCATACCACGGGAACTCTTGAAATACAGACCTGAGTTTGAATCCAGATGGAACAAGATGAATGAAATCAAGCAGTTCTAAATTACCTGGGGGTCCGGCAGTTCGATGGTAATATCCCGAGGCCATCGCCCAGCACGTGAAGAAGGTAATAATCTAGGAATGTGTTTTCCCGTTTTGAAATGCTTGTTCAGCTGCAAGTCAGGAGCATGATGAGTGACCACAGCCTCAGCATATCGAATTGCCACTCTCTTGCTGAAAACTCTTCAAATTGCTAAGACAGCGCTCAATCAACAGAAATTGATCTGGGCATCTGTAGGGCACACGAGTTCTTCTCTCCTTGGATTTCTCAGAGTTTATGGTCTTTTTTTTTATGGCTCTGCCTCCATATCCATATGGGGAGCGTCACTCTGGTTCAGGGTTGCACCCCCCGACGGTCGGCGGCCCTTGACTGGTCGGCTGCCAACCCGCCGACCGATGGGCTGGTTGGCACCTACTGGTCGGGGGTCGTCGGCACCCCGCAATTTTTTTTATTTTTTTTTTCGCTTGGGGTTCAGAACCCCTAATAACACCACCAACACCCCCATAGCGGCCCCCAATACCTGTGTACACCCCCCCAACACCCCCAAGCTGCCCCCAACACCCTCATTACCACCCCAATACCCCCCTATACCCCCCATGCCCCCCCCATCCCCAAAAGTTTCTCAGCGGATTTGGGCTGTACTCAGCAAGCGCAGTAAAGCGCCCAACTCAGATTTGAAAAAAAATCAGTGGATGCACTGGATGGAATTTTTTTTTTTTTTTCCTTGACTGGTCGGCCCAACTGGTTGAGTCAGGTTGACTGCAATACGGTTGGGGGCCGGGGGTCGGCGGTCGGCACCAGCAAGTCAAAACACAGAATACAACACACTCAAATGCTTCTCTTGATGGCTCAGGCTCCATAACCATTTGGGGAGCGTCACTCTGGTTCCTATTCAACCAGCAAGTCAAACTACCGAATACAACACACTCAAAGGCTTCTTCCCCTCATGGTAGAGAGACCGGAGTTGGCGGCATTGATTGCTTCCAATCTGGTAGGATGTACTTCCCCTCGCCTCTGCTTAAGTTAAGCAGGGTTTATGATCTCACTTGGTCCCTCAGCAATTTGTTTGGGTGCCTTTCTTCAGGAAGTGTCCTACTCTCGCAGCCCCTCATTTCCCCTCCTTAGATTTGGAGGGAAATCGCGGGGGAGCAGATAGGTGTTGGGAAGATTTTGCGGACCATGGGAGAACGTATGTGTGAGATACATCACAGCACTATGCCCATCTGCTGCCAAGGGGATCGTAGGTGTGAGGTCTTGCCAGTGCTCTGTTCCTCTTAGGCAAAGGGCTACTTGATAATGGGTGCCGTTGGGCTCTGTCATAACGCAGAAGCCTTTTGCCTTTAGATGCAGTGAGAGGTGATGAAGTGTAGTGGTGGCCTCACCTGTTGTCCTTTTGATCCTTGAACTCCCCTTGTGCACTGGCAGGCACAAGTCGAGAAGAGGAGTGTAGTACTGGCAGTCTGAAACGGTCGCAGGGATAAAACTATACTCTCATCCCTTGTGTATTACTAAAGCAACACCCTCTCTTCGCTCTGTCTGTCTGTGGGATAGTGTGTTGTTTTACACCTGTCTCCCTAAAAAATATGTAATATCTCCATTTGATGGACGTGATAATTGTAGAAGAGATGACTATGCATAACTGACCAGCAACTCTGGTCATTGTAGCTGCAATGCAAAGGTGAGTGGCAAGTTATTGCTGTCTGGTCAATCAAAAGACACCATCATGAATGCTGGTGGGTGTTCAACACTGTTTATGGTGAAATACAGTGTTGCATACCCAGACAGTCGGCGGCCCTTGACTGGTCGGCTGCCGACCCGCCTACCGGTCGGCTGGTAGGCACCTACCGTTTGGGGGTCGTCGGCACCCAACCCCCCCCCCCAAAAAAAAAAAGTTTGGGTCCAGAACCCCTAATGACCCCACAAACACCCCCATACAGTTGGCGGTCGGGGTCGGCGGTCGGCAGGTATGCAACCCTGGTGAAATATTATTTTGGATCTTCATGAACCTGAAAGGCTTTTGATGATGCGTACTGAGTGGTTTTATGTCGATCCTGTCATGCAGGTCCGTCCACAAGTTCAGCTCAGAATAATATGCTGGTACGTAAAAAATGCAATGTTTGGCCTTACACCGTGCATGCCAGCATGGACCCTCGAACACTGTCTGGTATATGGACCTTTCAGCTGACTTTGTCACCATGGTTCAGTGCCAAATGCTATGGTAGAACAATGCTTCATGGAGTTCCAACACCCTGTACTTGCTCACAATTGATTGGGAAGAAATCACACTTTTTTTTTTTTTTTTTTTTTTTTGTATAAACGAGTGTTTATGGCTCTGGCCCCTTCTCCGTTCTGGGAAGCGTCAGTGCGGTTCTGTTCCACCGGCAAGAGTGAACTATAAGAGAAAAGTGCACTATTCTACCTTCTGTCTTTGGCCAAAGGACCCCGAACCAGCATTGATTGCTCATTCATGGAGGACTGAATCAGATTGCCTGTCCGTCTTCTTCCTCTCACTCTGAGCCTTGACTAAGAATGTGGAAAGTTAATAGCAAAAGCAAGAACTGTTTTTTGAAGTGCAGGCTCTGGTTTTCTTGGAAGGTTAGCTGGAGGCGTTGTTGAGTGGTATGAGACGTGAATTCTGTTTGACAGCTTCCTCTTGCGGCCTTGAGTGGATTGTTTGACTGTTGGCCTGTGTAGTGCCAAATCCTCCACCTCAGTTTTGTTTTTCATTGACAATCTGTGCAATCTTGCCTCGGACTAGCCACTCCCTGTGGAAGGCTCTTTTCTTGGCTTCAAACTTCTCAGGCCTGAACTTAGCTGTGAGTTTGGCTATGCACCACCTACAGCGATTCCTGTTTCCACCATGCTGATCAGCAGGGCCCATGCCTGCTGTCCTTTCGATGGTTTGTGTGCATTGCATTTCCAGATGTTTGAAAGAGCCATCTTTATGAGAAGTTGGGATTGGGACCGGATCCTGTTGCTGTCCTTCAGGGTGTTGTGAGGGATGTTGATCAAGGAAGAGTAGGATAAAGTGGAGTGGTGCTGGGAGGCGGTGATGAGAAGAGCGAGAGGGGGAGACCCAGAGCTCCTTTATCTTTTTCCAGGTCCAGCACACTTTCGGACAAGTGAGCAGGGAGTGTATCAGGTCTGCAGGTGCTTTCTGTGCACATCATGACCACCAGTAGGGGCAGCCCCTCCTTACTATGACTGTCAAATTGTTTGGTCATGAAGACACAATGGGATGGATACTTGTACAGTACCCACTCAACCGTGCATGGTTAGATTTAATTGCGGGTTACAATGGCTTGGTGCCCTGAATGCAAAACGAGAATCCTCTGCATCCGTTCATCAAACAACCCTACTAAAGCTTATCGGCCACGGCACCGAGTCTCGCATCTGCAATGGTCCACGTTAGTGTTTCTGCATCGTGAAGCGTGAGACGTCGGATGTAAAATTCTGACGCGTGATCGTTTGCATCGCGATGCGTGAGACGTCCGATGTAAAATTCTGACGCGCCTGATGCAGCATGTCTGACGCGTCTGATGCATTTGACGTTTGTTTTTTTCTCGGGCGAGTCCGGTTTCGTTTCGTTTTTGCGTTCTCTTTTATGCTTTGGGCCTCGCTGCACTAATCTTGAAATACGGACAGATACACGGTCATGATTTTTGTTTTTTGTGGATGCGTTTGGCGTTTGTTTTTTTCTCGGGCGAGTCTGGTTTCGTTTTGCTTTTGCGTTCTCTTTTATGCTTTGGGCCTCGCTGCACTACTCTTGAAATGCGGACAGATACACGGTCATGATTTTTGTTTTTGGTGGATGTGGAGGGTAGTGAATCTTCCGCTATAATACGGACAGATACACGGTCACGATTTTTGTTTTTTGTGGATGTCGAGAGTAGTGCAGCGAGGCCCTTTGTCGTTGGCTGTCGGTGGGTGCTTGGGGCCGGTCGGTGTCGGTAGGTGCTTGGGGCCGGTCGGTGGGTGCTTGGGGCCGGTCGGTGGGTGCTTGCGGCCGGTTGGTGGGTGCTTGCGGCCGGTCGGTGGTGCTTGGGGCCGGTCAGTGGTGCTTGGGGCC